CGAACAAGCCAGCCCTCTATTATTGTTGGGCACTTGCCGCGCCGACATTTTTTGGTGACCTCGACGTGATTTATTATTGTTATATTGCCCGTTATGGTAAAATAGTGCTGGTTATTATTATTATATCACATTAGTAAAAAAAAAAAAAAAAAAAAAGAGAAAAATTATTTCATACTTGTTATTTTTTATTATTATATATTTTTTTTGATAATTTTCTTATTGTATTCATTGACTCTAGCAACATGAGCACTACTATATCTCCACAGTTGAGCAAGCTGATAAAGAAAAGAGCTACTATCAAATCTTCAATTGAATCTATCCGCACTTATGTCAACAAATTCAATAAATCTACACAATCTTCTCGCCAGCTTCAAATCAGACTTAAGTCATTAACTCAATATATTTCTGAATTTAATGATGTCCAGCAATGCATCTGTAACCTGGACCAAGGGGAAGAAGAAGAACCAGAGCGGTTGGAATTTGAAGACATGAATATGACCTTAATGGCTAACATTGAGGACATTATCGCCGAATGTAACACGGCAACTGTCCAAAATATATCACACTCCTCGTGCACATCTGGGGGAGAAACAGTAAGGTTGCCAATGATACAGCCTCCCACATTTAATGGAAGCTTGGAAGACTGGTCATCATTCATTGACACGTTCAACGCCTTATTCCACAACAATGCACAATTAAACGATGTTCAACGACTGCATTACTTGAAGTCTAGTGTAACGGGTTCGGCAGCTGATATTATTAAAAATTTCTCTATAACATCGGAAAATTACAACGTTGCATACAACGAGTTAATACGTCAGTATGAGAACAAAGGTCTTACCATCCAGAGCCATATTCGAGCACTTCTCCATTCTCCTAAAGTAAATACACCATCAGCTGTTGAGCTTCGCAAATTACATCACCATGTGGCATCACATGTCCGTGCTCTCAAGGCTCTGGGACAGCCAGTGCAGCATTGGGACGCATGGCTTGTGACACTAATATGTGGCCAGCTTGACTCTATCACTGCCAGTGAGTGGCAACTGCGGCAAGATAAGGAGTTACCCTCTTACCAAGAGCTTGAGTCATTCTTGGCAAAACGAGTAACTGCCTATGAAGTTGGTCTCATATCAAATCCGTCAGTTGAAAAATCATCAAGAGCAAAAAATGGCAATTATAATAACAAAATATTTTTTACTCGCTCTACAGAAGGAAAAGTACTTAAGTGTCCTATCTGTACACAACCTCACAAAATCTATTCTTGTTATAACTTCTCAAAAATGTCAATTGCTGAAAGAAAAAACGCCGTTGCGGTTGCAAAATTATGCTATAATTGCTTAAACTACGGACATCAGATTAAAGATTGTCGTTTATCATCATGTCCGAAATGTAATAAACGACACAATCTAAAATTGCACGAGGATACCCCACCTAACAATGTACTGACTGAACCAAACTGCACTGAAGCAACCGCGCTTGGAAGTACACCCAGTTCGGTACTATTATCAGGTGCTACTAATATTCAAAATTCTGATGTCAAATTCAATGTCATGTTGTCAACATCTATAATTAAGGTCCAAGATCCAGCTGGAAATTGGCATAATTGTAGAGCCATTCTAGACTCGGGATCTCAACTTAACTTTATCACTAATGATTGTGCAAGGAGATTAAAATTACCATCATATAACAACACACAACAATTCATTACTGGTATCGGCTCCATAAGTTCATCAGCATCAAGGTCATTCTCAGCATCTATTTCTTCTCGGTTTGGTGAACATGAATTAAATGCTGTCTTACATTCATTATGTACAATAGTAAATGTATTACCTTCTCATAGGATTGAGCGTAGCGGCATTATGTTACCAAGACACATTATAGATAAGCTTGCAGATCCAAATTTCCATGAACCAGGCAGCATTGATATATTACTTGGCTCAGAAATATTTTTCGATATTTTGGGTACTAAAAAATGGCCACTTACAGAATCTGCTTCGTTACGCAGTACCGATTTTGGCTGGATAGTCGTAGGAAAAATGCCTATCACGTGCAGTCAAGTCAAGCATACATCAAACGCTGTGTCTTCGAATTCATCACTGTCCTTGTTTACCTCAGTGGCTGCACTAAAAACAGCTAATGAACAAAAAGCAGAAGCGCATTTTTTGTCAACGATATCACGAGACAAAAACGGCAGATTTGTTGTGAAACTACCGTTTGCCCAAGATCCACAAGCACTAGGTGACTCGCGAACTATGGCTAAAAAGCGATTCACAAATCTAGAAAGACGTTTTGCCAAGGAACCAAGTCTCGCAAAAGAATATAAGGCATTCATGACCGAGTACCTCGAGATGGATCATATGCAAGTTGCCACCAACATTGCCAGTCCATGTTATTATTTACCTCATCACGCTGTGTTGAAGGCTAATAGCCTGACCACCAAACTTCGAGTGGTATTTGATGGATCAGCTGCATCAAACTCAGGATTTTCACTAAACGACATTTTGTTAAAAGGACCAAAAACCCAACCGGACATTATTAACATATTATTACGATTCCGTGTACACAATATTGCAATCACAGCAGATGTGGAAAAAATGTACAGGCAGGTGCGAGTTGCAGATGAGGATTGCGACTTCCAGCGTATATATTATCGTGCTAACCCACATGATCAGTTGACAGAATATAAGCTGAAGACAGTTACATACGGTACAAAAGCCGCATCATTTTTAGCAACTCGGTGTCTCGCTAAAATCGCTGATGAAGTGAGTGATGCATCAATTAAGAGAATTATTTCTCAAGACTTTTATGTGGACGACCTGATAAGTGGTGGAGAGTCAATAGAAGCAGTGCATAACATCTACCACCAGTTGCATTCTACTTTAATACAATATGGATTTCCACTCCGAAAGTGGTGCTCAAGCTCACGCCAACTTATTGATCTCATACCACTACAACAAAGCGAAAGCAATTTTCTCATAAACATGAGTGAGGATGACACAATAGGGACATTGGGTCTTCTGTGGCAACCAGCCTCAGACAACTTTCTATTCTTGGTTAAACAATGGTGTCCACTAGCCAGAATGACAAAACGATCTCTCTTATCTGACATCAGCAAGGTGTTTGATCCAATTGGCCTGGTATCTCCCGTGTTAATAAGGGGAAAAATTTTCTTGCAGCAATTGTGGTCATTGAAAATTAGCTGGGATGAGGTGCTCTCTGAAGATTTACAAAATCGCTGGACAAAATTTTATACTAGTTTGCAGTGCTTAAATCAGGTGATCGTTCCTAGGAAGGTCATGATGTCTCCTTCGTCAAACATCCAGCTTCATGCCTTTAGTGATGCTTCCCAAGAAGCATTCGGAGCTTGTGTTTATATGCGTTCAATGCAATCTGATGGCAGTATTGATGTTCGATTATACACCTCAAAGTCCAGAGTAACCCCTATGAAACCATCAACTATTCCCAGGTTGGAATTATGCGGAGCATTATTAGCAGCAGAACTTGCCAATGACACATTAGCTGAACTCAAAGCGTTAAATGTCATTGTGCCATCTATCAATGTATATTTATGGTCGGATTCTTCTATAGTAATTGCTTGGATACAGAGCCAGGCTCTATTTTCGGCTTATATATCAAACAGGCTTGCTCGAATCCTTGACGTCTCTTCACCTGACCAATGGCATCACGTGCCTACGAAAGAAAACCCAGCAGACTTAATTTCTCGGGGAATCGATGCTGCATCCATTTCACAGTCAAAGTTGTGGTGGCATGGACCCCATTGGTTGA